CCCAATGTGCAGTGACGTCGACTGTCACAACATAACCAGCAAAAGAACAAAGAGATAATAAAAAATAGAGAAAACAATAACAAACAGAAACTAAAAACACAAGAAGCAGGAACAAGAAAATATTTTTTAATAATCATTTATGTAAAATTTAAATTCAAACAAAATCTCAGAAACAAAATCTGGCACTGTTTCAAATGAAAATATACACAAAATATCCCAAAAAATGTAAATTCTCATGTGAGCTTTTTCCAATTACACAGGTTTGTTCCTTCTATATCAGGTAATAAAATACTCAAGTTGTTAGTTTACATTTTTCTTCTGTTAACAGTTTCAAAAGATAGGAAGGAAATAATCTTGTTAATTCATTCCATAATGCTGCGGTCTAGTATATATGTACAGCTGAACTCACAAATTATTATTTTATCATGTGTACACACTGATCTCACAAGTTATTATTTTATCATGTATACACACTGATCACACAAGTTATTATTTTATCATGTATACACACTGATCTCACAAATTATTATTTTATCATGTATACACACTGATCTCACAAGTCATTATTTTATCATGTATACACACTGATCACACAAGTTATTATTTTATCATGTATACACACTGATCTCACAAATTATTATTTTATCATGTATACACACTGATCACACAAGTTATTATTTTATCATGTATACACACTGATCTCACAAGTTACTATTTTATCATGTGTACACACTGATCTCACAAGTTATTATTTTATCATGTATACACACTGATCTCACAAGTTATTATTTTATCATGTATACACACTGATCTCACAAATTATTATTTTATCATGTATACACACTGATCTCACAAATTATTATTTTATCATGTATACACACTGATCACACAAGTTATTATTTTATCATGTATACACACTGATCTCACAAGTTACTATTTTATCATGTGTACACACTGATCTCACAAGTTATTATTTTATCATGTATACACACTGATCTCACAAGTTATTATTTTATCATGTGTACACACTGATCTCACAAGTTATTATTTTATCATGTATACACACTGATCTCACAAATTATTATTTTATCATGTATACACACTGAACTCACAAATTATTATTTTATCATGTATACACACTGATCTCACAAGTTATTATTTTATCATGTATACACACTGATTTCACAAGTTATTATTTTATCATGTATACACACTGATTTCACAAGTTATTATTTTATCATGTATACACACTGATTTCACAAGTTATTATTTTATCATGTATACACACTGATCTCACAAGTTATTATTTTATCATGTATACACACTGATCTCACAAGTTATTATTTTATCATGTATACACACTAATCTCACAAGTTATTATTTTATCATGTATACACACTGATCTCACAAGTTATTATTTTATCATGTATACACACTGATTTCACAAGTTATTATTTTATCATGTATACACACTGATCTCACAAATTATTATTTTATCATGTATACACACTGATCTCACAAGTTATTATTTTATCATGTGTACACACTGATCTCACAAGTTATTATTTTATCATGTATACACACTGATCTCACAAGTTACTATTTTATCATGTATACACACTGATCTCACAAATTATTATTTTATCATGTATACACACTGATCTCACAAATTATTATTTTATCATGTATACACACTGATCTCACAAGTTATTATTTTATCATGTGTACACACTGATCTCACAAGTTATTGTCAAAAACAGTCTTGACACATGTCAAAAACAGTCTTGACACATGTCAAAAACAGTCTTGACACATGTCAAAAACAGTCTTGACACATGTCAAAAACAGTCTTGACACATGTCAAAAACAGTCTTGACACATGTCAAAAACAGTCTTGACACATGTCAAAAACAGTCTTGACACATGTCAAAAACAGTCTTGACACATGTCAAAAACAGTCTTGACACATGTCAAAAACAGTCTTGACACATGTCAAAAACAGTCTTGACACATGTCAAAAACAGTCTTGACACATGTCAAAAACAATCTGACCTGTCCCATGCTAGCTAATGTCAGATTAGTTTCCCAAATTAACCAATCATTTACACATACAAAAACCTTTGATTTAACATTAACATCGTGGTTTTCTGTATTTGTCTTGAGTTTCTCTGATGATGGATTAGTTCATCTTTTTTGCAGGTTTCAGCTACATCATTTATCCATCTTTCTTGGTCTGCCCCTCAAAAGTTCTATAAAACAAATCTCATGCAGTCTGGTCTGGCTGATTTTCATTAGGTGGTCGAACTGTTCCATTCTTTGTCAATATAATTCAGACAGTCTTATTCCAACTTTCTCTCTAAAGCTGGTAATTGTAACCTTATCGCTTTTTTGTGTTGTTCTTCTTCTGCCTTTCTATTTCCCAATGGAGCATAGGCCCTCAACCAACTTACGACAAGTTGTTCTATCCTTCGCCATTGCATGGAGCTCTCCCCATGTTCTCCTCATCTTTCTTTCATTCTCCAGCTCTCTTCTCCATGTGTTTTTTGGCCTTCCTTTATTGCTATGCCCCTCTGGGTTCCAATGCAAAGACATTCTAGTTATGTTGTTCTCCTGGTTTCTCAGTTTGTGTCCTATCCAACGCCAGCGTCTTTTCCTCACCTCTTGGTCCACTGGAGTCTGTTTAGTTCTCTCCCAAAGCTCTACATTAGTTATTCTATCATACCATTTAATTCCCTCTATTCTGTGCAGGCACCAGTTAATGAATGTTTGTAGTTTATTAGTAATTGCCTTAGGTGTTCTCCATGTTTCCGCCCCATACAAAAGCACTGATTTGACATTAGAATTAAAAACTTTTAGTTTGGTATTTCTTTTAATTTCTGTTGACCTCCACAAATTCCCTAGTGCTATGAAAGCCGCTCTTGCGTTTTGTATTCTTATTTTAATATCTTTATCAGTTCCTCCATCTTTATCTACATTACTGCTCAAATAGGTGGATGACTCCATGTCTTGGAGTGGGGGTGCCATTAAGAGAAACCACATTACTATTTGCCTGATTTATTCTCATTAAGTTTGTCTTTCCTTTATGGATTTTCAGACCAAGCTGCCGTGATCTCGCATCAAGTATATTTAATTTATCTTGCATCTGATTCTGTGAATGGGACAGAAGAGAAATATCATCAACGAAGTCCAGATCATCAAGCTGTTTTGTAGGGGTCCACTGAATTCCATTCTTGGTGTTAGCAGTTACTGTTTTCATAATCCAGTCTATAGCCAGTAACAATAAGAGAGGCGACAAAATACATCCCTGTCGCACACCAGTTTTTTTTTTCAAATGTATCTATTATCTTTCCATCACAAAGAACTCGACATTTCATGTCTTTATATGTTGCCTTCACTAAATTAATAATTTTCTGAGGGATTCCATAGTGCCCCATCAATTTCCAGAGAGATTTCCTATCAATGCTGTCAAATGCTTTTTCATAGTCTATAAATCCAATGTAAAATGGTGAGTTCAGTTCAATGCTTTGCTCTATTATAATATGTAATAATTTGTGTTGTTAGTGATGGAGAAAGCGGAACAGCGCATAAATGCATTTGAATATAAATGTTACAGACAGGTTCTAAGAATATCTTGGGTAAAGAAAAGAACAAATGCATCCATACTTCAAGAGCTGAATATTGAAGAGGGTTGGCTAGTAAAGACAATAAAACAAAGAAAATTGAAATATTTTGGTCACTTGAAACGTCATGGAAGTCTAGAGAGAACAATAATGGAGGGGTATATGCCTGGGAAGAGAGGAAGAGGAAGGCCAAGGAGAAGATGGGTGCAGGATGTGGCAGATGATCTCCAGATGGGTGTATCAGACGCAGGACATCTTGCTCAGGATAGGAAGGTTTTCCGGAGGGTTGTTTTGGCAGCGAGGTTCCGCGAGGGACATGCTACTGAATGAATGAATGAATGAATGATGGAGAAAGCACATTTCACACAAGTAGTTATTCCCAGTGTGTGTTCCGGGGCCCTGTTAGAGGGAAAACAAGAACAGATCCACGGCTTTATTCAAAAGCATGGCGTAGAGTTTACTAACTGGCTGCTTCCTTTAGAGTCGGAGTACATCTGCATCGGAGTGCATTTGCCTGAAAGGCAAGAAACCAACAGTCTGCACACAAATGAGTCAGATCTGTCAAACGGATGCACATGCATCACTCAGGTTCTGGAACAGGACTGTAGTCCAGAAGTGGATGAACAACCAGAACTTTCCATCAGAGTTTACAGCTGGTGAACGCAAAGAAGAAGGAGAACAGGTAGTTATTTTCTGTTCTAGTGTCCTACTTAGTGACGCTGTTTGGCACTGATAACATAAAGTAGTGATGAAAATGCAATTAATCATTTGCTGTTTTGCTGGAAGGGAGAAATTTAGGTCTCTAAACAGCAGTGGGGCTAACCGGTAGGTGACAGCATTAGCCTTCTGTACTGTGGTTTTCATCTCTCTATCAGATCTGTCATCTTCTGCAAATATGCTTCCTAGATATTTGAATCCTCATATTTGTGTGGTTACTATTAACATGAACTTTTAATTTTTAAGACTACCAATCCCAGAAAATTAGGCAGCCCATGCCCAGAAGGGATTACAAGCACTGTGAAAACAACATGACAGCAGCAACTTTCTGACATCTATTTCATGTTATAATATCTTAACCATATTTCAAGAGGCACACAAACTCAGTTTTAAAAGTTTATAAAAATGTGATCACCTGAATCTTTTCATTTTGTTTTTACTACCACCTTTTTCTGCACCCTCTTAACACAGCACCAGTATGGCAAGTCGCTTGAGCTGATGCCCTGTGCTGCAGCTGCTTTAGGATTACTTCCTCCTTGACCTTTTATCAGATATTATACTAGTCATTGTTACTATTCTCCTTCCTGTATAACTGTCCAGTTTCTCATTGCCTGCATCAATGTTCCCTGGACTGAGACCATTCATGCCAGATGCTGACTGGTGTCATGACAGACTGATATTGTGAAGGCCAACATTCTTGGTATCCTTGTATGCCCACACCAGACAGTAATGGGACAACAACTGGTCGAGAAGTTCTCGCTCATCCAGCAACTCCAGCCGTTCCATTCTGCAAAGGAAATATATATGCTAATTATTTGATATATGTTTTTAACAATGAAATGCTGATTAAATCAATACTAATTTTTGGCACTGTGAGGGTTAATGTACTGCCGTAGTTAGGGCTTACTGAGAGAATGGTGGATAACAGAGAGTTAAAATCTGCATTCACAAGACTTACTGAGAGTAGACCAAAAAGATAGTGGAGAGATAGTATACAGACAGATCTAGAAACACTTGAAGTCATCAACGACCAGGTCGCCCACTGGTTGTCCAGTAGATGACTTTCTCATCGGTTGGGATAGTATCTGAGTCTGACTTCTCTGATTACAACAACAATGCAAGAGTCCTTTTCAGGGCTACTTTATGACAAGCAATGCTAAGCCATTTTAAATGGCGCAAATGACCCAGTCACAATTATGACCGAAAGCTCCCCTTTGGAGATGCTGGCTGAACGTAAAATTTTTTGTATGTTCAAAAAAAAAAAAAAGGAATGAAGGACTCTGAAGTCCCCAACTGAAAAGAGAAGGCCAATCACAGACAGGAATGGAGATGGATAAGATCTGCAGCAATGAACCTCAGAGGCTCAGAATGCTGGAAAAAAAAAGGACTTTGAGAATTATATGGTGGTACAGACCACCACAATGTAAACATCAGAAATGTAAGTGTTACTGGTGCCCATGAGAGAAGTAAAGGAAAGAAGTTAGCTGTGTACCTTTACCAGATGTTACAGAACAAACCCACTAATTTTTGGTGTTTTTGAATTTAGTAGTCAATTTTATGATGACGCATCCTGAATAATCAGCGCTCAATACAGCCCTTGAAATCGATGCAAAGTGGTCTGCTGCCGAATCGGCAACAGCTGAAATCAAACCAGGTATTTGGGCAGTACGAAGGTTAAGGATAGTAACACAGTATCTACCACGTATGTTGTAAAAGGCAGCAATGGGCACTAACATGAAAATGGCTACTACATGCAGCAGAACTTCAGCTGAAAAATCCAAACACTCATGGGAAAATCAACACAAGGTCTGATGATGCGTGTTGGCTGACAGCCTATGCTTAGTTAAGATAAAAGGTGGAAGAAGAAGATATATAAAGTCAAACAATTATTGATGGTCATGCAGAGTTGAATAAATTAAGATAGATTTAATAAAGACAATGCTGAATCAATGTTTGTGTATATATACCCTAAGACCAGACGGGTCACTGGTGAGGGGCCAGACTAAAGATGGCCTCCCGGTCATCCAGACTCAGGAGTTGGGCTCAGTGTTGACAGCTCTGCCCTGTAAGAAAACTACAACGTTACTGAAACTACAACAGGAAATAAGTGCTCTAAACGTCCTGGTGGTCTTGGGACAGAGTCCCTCTGTCAGCATGAACAACATGGGTGAAAGCCGTAAGGAAGCCAATGATGGGGAAAACAAGTCTGCTGAATGTTAAAACCAAATTAAGAATTGGCTTCTGGAATGTAAGAACCATGTTTGAAATGGCCAAAACCGCCCAAGTAATTCAAGAAATAAAAGGGGCGCCCAAAACAACATTGAGAGGAATGACGAAAAGTGACCTGAGTGCAGCATCTCTGACATGGAAGACTGCACTGAAGATTGCACAGGACAGGAAAGCATAAAAAGTCCTCGCTGAAGCCTCATGTGAAACCTGGTATAAAGAGAATTGACATATATACCCCAACATTAAATGATACACGCACCTTTGGACATCTGCTTGAGGTAGACATTTATACACAGTACACAGATCCAAGGCATCTCCACCTGTCCAGCCATTGTTTAGAAATCTGCAAGAGTTGAGAAATAAAAACAATCTACACATCAAACTATCATTAGAGCACTGGTTACAAAACTTAGGTGTTTTTTGTTTTTTTGACAGTGACTTCCGACACGCTGAGGAATATAGGCTGTTTGCCCAAGCAGTCACTGTGTGTGTCATGAAAATCAGTAACAAGATCAGTTTCCATGCCATGAGTTGCTGTTGGTACATTTTGCTTTATCTCAAACTGTTACAGACCAAATGATGAGTTAAGAGGTCAAAACTTCAACAGCTGTCTTTACATCGAAGGACATTTTCTGGCACCGATATTTAGGCTGGGAGCACAGGTAAAAGGGCCCTTCTCCACAGGTTATATGGTCAACATCATGCAGGCCATCTTTACTTCCCAGGAATGTACCTGGTATTCATTTGAGGCTGGGAGCCATGGTCAATTTTTTTTAAAGTTCGGCTCTGTTCAGATTTAAACCCACGACCTTAGGATCCACAGGTGAGCATCTAGCCATGAGACCACAGCGGCTCCTGGAAGCACAGGTTATTTATAAAATTCACCTTAGAGGATTGAGCACATAACGCAAATTTGGCAAAGATATGTGCTAGCCCCTGCAAACACTGAAAAGAAAGAATAACCCAAACAAAAAGTCATCATCATCATGCAGCAGATCTTTGACAGCACATTCCTTAATTTAGGACCAGCCTGAAAGAAACGTGGTCTCTCGTCAGTTCTCCTGGCTTGTGCACTTTACTCTTCAAAGCCTCTCCTATGTCCTTTGCCTATTACCCCTCTTCACGGGGCTCGACCCTTGCCCCCTTTTGTCTGTACCATGCCCTCCAGGACTGTTCTTTCCAATCTACCGTGACACTTGACATGACCAATGCATTTGAGGGACAAGCTGCTGTTTACCAGCCAACCTTCCTCAATATTCAGATCTATTCGGATATCAATATTTTTTTCTTCTTGGTCCATGGTATTCCTTAAAGGTAGCACTGAAATCTTTACCTTTGTCAATGCAGATTAAGAAAGTTTTCTACGAGTTAACACAGTCCATCCTGATGTAAGGAAGTAAATCATGGACAGCTGCAGAGTTGTGGTTTCTTAGAAAAAGATGATTAAAATGGTCGAAATCTTGTCACAAATTTTTGAGAACAGGGTCTTAAGATGAATCTTTGGACCCATCAAAGATGCAAAGAGCGAAGAATGGAGAATAAGAAGCAACAAAGAAATCTATAATCTGTTTAAATCACCACTGATTACCAGCATCAAGTGAGCTGATAGACTGCGAGGGCTGAGGCGTACACAGAAAATCGCGAATAGACAGACAAACCTGGTGCATAACAGTTTAAAGCAGACTATGAGGCAGATCATAGTGGCGTCCGTAGCTAAGGCATTGCTAGTCCGACTCGTAATCCAACGCACTGCGACCAAAACCCACTGCGGGCTGCGTGGATTTTTTTATCGTGGTATGCGACGTCGCAGGTCGACCCAGCCTCACATGGGTACCAGGATGGCTGTCCTGGGGAAGTAGAGGCGGCCGGCGTAATGCTGACCACATTACCCACCGAGTGCCGATTGGTCTGTAAATATATGGGTGCCCTTTCCATATGCCCGATGCGCCTAAAGGCGTGACAAGGGATCTTTACTTTTTTTACTTTATTTATGAGGCAGATCAAGACGATAATGAAGAGATATAGGTAGACCTATAATCAACTGCAGTTCACCACATGGAATAGAAAGCCACAGAGGCCAATGATATTTGCAGCAATGAAATTCAAAGGCTCTGACTGCTGAAAAAAGGAATAATAATGAGAAAATTATGGACAAATGAAAAGTGTAATGAAGATGCCTTGAAAGAAAGTTAATTACAAAGGGGACTTGCTATCTGCATCGTAAGAGAAATATTCAAATTCTTAAAGCAGGTCATGAGAAGGGCAAACTTGGAATGTATATAAGCATAGTTGCAGAACATAGACAGCAGAGCTGCTCTTCTTCTTCTTCTTCTTCTGCTATGTTTAACTTAAAAGGGTAGTTAGTATGCTGTGGTTTACAGCTAGGCTGTGATATCTGCGCCTTTCAGCTCAATACATCCAATTTCAGCAAAACCCCATACAGTTGCCTTCTATGACATGGTTGACAGGTGTTGTCGTCTGTAGCTTTGGTGTTTCAAATGCGCTGAGTAATTCCTTGGTGCCAGGTTCAATCCCAGTTGTGGGTGATCTGGCAGCAGACCACCTTGCATCAGTTTCAACAGCAGTATCCAGAGTCAGCCATTCAGGAACCAATGGGAAACATGTGAATGTAAAATTGCCTACGGAAATGGCAAACAGCCAAAAAAATTGTTTGGGTTGGTTCTGCAATGCCCTGTAAAGTACACACAACTAACTTTTAGTGGATCTATTTATTTTCCTCCAAAATGGGGCTCTGGAACTCATACAGGGTAGAAGGAGACTATGGAGATGTAGCCTTACATCACAGCACAGTGAAACATTTACGTTAGAAACTAGTGGCAGCACATGAGACAGAAGGATGCAGACAGATATGATGATCGACCCCCGTACAGCAAGGACTATGAGAAGATGAATCCTATAAAATAGAAAATGTACACTGTAAACACAGTATCACCTGCACTTACCTGTTCATTTGTGTCTCCAGACTGGCACAAGCTACAGCCCCACTAAGAACACAGTCTCTTGCTTTCAAGTTCTGAATCATTACCTGGCCAAAAGCATCTGTCATATTCACCTTAAACAGAGATAAAGATACATTTATAAACATATATTTATAAGTATGATTTACACACAGGTGTCTGCTATATTTATTTACACCAATATAACTCTAGACCAAACAAACAAATTCAATTTACCCAAAAGCCTCTGTCATGTTTACATTCCAGTCAGTTACTTGTTTTTTGCAGGATGTTGCAGAACAAGCCCTAGAATTTTTTGGCTATTTGTGACTTCGCTAGGCAATTTTATGTTCAGTAGTGAGCCATTTCTTCTAAACAGCTGGCTCTAAATACCAATGCAAGCTTGGTTTCGAACCCGGACCATAGAATTATGAAGCATTTCGCAATGTCTGAGCCACAGATGAGGATGTTAAATATAGAAATAAATAATAAAAGAACATATGCCACTTGCCCAAAGTAGACCTAAACAGAAATAAATACTGAGTGAACAAGTAAAATTTATCGGAAAACAGTCACAGCATTTGCCAGTTAAGATACTGTTTCAGATGCTGAAATTAAGAATTAAGAGCAACTGTTCACTTATCTTGGCTGAGACAAACTGTCTTTACAGATCTGGCTTATTTGTATCCAGACTGTTGGTTCCTCGCCTCTCAAGCAGATGTGCTCCAATTTCAGAGAATACATGAATAACAAGGAAGCATAAGTTTCAATCTTCTCTTCGTTTGTCCTGCTGTTGCCATAAGGTGCCACAGAGAGGAGTTATATGTAGTCTCCTTCTTTTTGCTGGCAGCATAATTTGTATTGTCAGATTGTGTTTCAATAGTGTCTCTTTAACTCTCTCCACCCATATTTTTCCTGGTCTGCCTTTTGTCTTGTAGCCTGGCTGTTCTCATGTAGTTTGTTCTAGCTGCTGGCTAAATTTTGTTCTGTTCTGACCAGATGATCAAACCATTTGATTCTTTGATGTTCTATAAAAATCATGTAACGGTTATGTGCTTACCACTGTTTTTAGTTCTTCATTGGTGACTCTGTTTCCTCTTGATTTTCTTGTTAAATTTCCTATACATCTCATCTCATGAGGTTCATGTTGTAATTTTATGTTTATGTTCTTTTTTTTTTTCTAGCATTGCTCACGTCAGGTCAGGTCTTGGTCAGATATGACTGAGCTGCCATATAAAAGTAGCCGGTACCACCTGTCTTCGTTACGCCGAATGTTGGGCGGCGTATACTAACCCAACATCCCATATTGTGAAAACAGCTTCGGGGAGAGGAGCGCATTGGGGAGGATGCAGCCTTATCCTAGGAAGAGGAAATGCAAACTGAAAACTTTATGTTATGGCAGGGCAGACCAGGCCCTTCACCTTGGCTGGCAGCTGGTCTAGGAGGGAAGCTCCAACAGGCGGACAGAGAACTGCTCTTTTGATCCAGCAGCTTCTGCAACCTGCCTCGTTCCAAACGTACTGGTTTTACCTTTCCTTTTTAGTAAACAAGACAGGTCGAGGGAAGGATCATTATACATGGGCAACATATGGTCTCTACAATACTGCCCAGGCTGTGTGGCGTGTCTTGCAAGTCACACTCACCATTGCCATGGGCTGTGAGTCTCATGCCTGCTCATAGCGCAATATAACACTATCATCTGGAAAGACGGAAAGGTTTTAATGAATGATGACATTGATAACCCAAAGTCAGAAAAAAGATTGTATTTATAAGTTATCTTCTCGACTTACAACCTGTGTGACTTTCAACAATCCGTACTTACAGCCACACACAAGAAAACAAATATTTCAAACAGTACATAAGGAGACACAACTAAATTGTAGTGTCAAAAAGTTTCAAGAACTGATGCAACAGTGTACATATTATGTATTATGTACAATAATTATAAGTAGATAGACTAAATTTTTCTGTCTTGTGAACAATTTTTATAACCCGTTTGAATGAAAATAGTGCTGGAAAATATAAATCTGACTTAGATAAGTTCAACTTACAACTTGTTAGTCAGAACGAAACTCAGTCATGCCCAGGAGACTACGTACAATAAATAGCACAGCAATTATAAAACATAACATGTTCATAATTAATAAACAAGGCAGCAGGAAAACTGTCGACGACAAGTTCAACTTACAACTTGTTAGTCAGAACGAAACTCAGTCATGCCCAGGAGACTACATACAATAAATAGCACAGCAATAATAAAAATAACATGTTCATAATTAATAAACAAGGCAGCAGGAAAACTGTCGACGACAAGTTCAACTTACAACTTGTTAGTCAGAACGAAACTCAGTCATGCCCAGGAGACTACATACAATAAATAGCACAGCAATAATAAAAAATAACATGTTCATAATTAATAAACAAGGCAGCAGGAAAACTGTCGACGACAAGTTCAACTTACAACTTGTTAGTCAGAACGAAACTCAGTCATGCCCAGGAGACTACGTACAATAAATAGCACAGCAATTATAAAACATAACATGTTCATAATTAATAAACAAGGCAGCAGGAAAACTGTCGACGACAAGTTCAACTTACAACTTGTTAGTCAGAACGAAACTCAGTCATGCCCAGGAGACTACATACAATAAATAGCACAGCAATAATAAAAAATAACATGTTCATAATTAATAAACAAGGCAGCAGGAAAACTGTCGACGACAAGTTCAACTTACAACTTGTTAGTCAGAACGAAACTCAGTCATGCCCAGGAGACTACATACAATAAATAGCACAGCAATAATAAAAAATAACATGTTCATAATTAATAAACAAGGCAGCAGGAAAACTGTCGACGACAAATTCAACTTACAACTTGTTAGTCAGAACGAAACTCAGTCATGCCCAGGAGACTACATACAATAAATAGCACAGCAATAATAAAAAATAACATGTTCATAATTAATAAACAAGGCAGCAGGAAAACTGTCGACGACAAATTCAACTTACAACTTGTTAGTCAGAACAAAACTCAGTCATACCCAGGAGACTACACACAATAAACAGCATAGTAATAATAAAACATCACCTGTTCATAATTAATAAACAAGGCAGTAGGAAAACTGTCAGCAATCCATTTAATCAACTTGTCTGTTGCCTCAACTTCAATGTACACTAGAACACATTCCGATATAAACACTGTTGGCAGGGCCCGGTCTATCCCTGAGGCCGAAAGCTTCGTTTCCAGGGTTGCTAAATTTCTTAGATCTGCCGAGACGAGGTGGTAATTTGCTGAATGAAGCTCTGATTTGCTCATCATGATCTCACTGTCTGGGGATTGAAAGATTGGAAAATCAGGAAGGGAAAAGGAATAAAGGGGAAAACGATTGCAGATAAGTTAAGAGCTCAAAGTCTGAAAAGAAGCTCATCAAATATATGCAATGGAAACACTGGTCCTGAAGTCCCACTGATATAAAATTGTAGAAGACATTTCATAATGCAAGCAGGTCTTGCTAGTGGCTAATCACACTTGCATCACCACTGGCACTGATTTGCAATGAATCCCTTTAGGACAGTGGTCTTCAGCCTTTTTCAGGTCCCCCCCCTCTCCCCCTTCTACCTTGAAAATATAGCAAGCCCCCCCCCCCACCCCCTTGAGTATATGGTAGACCCATAGCCCCCCTCACCCCTACTTGAAAATAAGGCAAGACCCCCACACATCCTTTGAGTATATGGTAAGACCCCCACACATCCTTTGAGTATATGTTAAGACCCGTAGCCCCCCCCCCCCCCCACCTTGAAAATATGGCAAGTTCCCCCCCCCCCCACACCCCTTTGAGTATATGGTAAGACCCATAGCTTCTCCCCCCCCCCCCCACCTGAAATATGGCAACCCCCCCCCCCACCTTTGAGTATATGTTAAGACCCATAGCCCCCTCCCCCACCCTCACTTGAAAATATAGCAAGACCCCCACACATCTTTTGAGTATATGGTAAGACCACCACACATCCTCTGAGTATATGGTAAGACCCGTAGTTGAAACCCTTTGAGTATATGGTAAGACCCCATAGCCCCCTCCCCACCCTCCCCCCCCCCCCCGACCTTGATATGGCAAGCCAAAATGAGGTAGTAAGTATATGGTAAGACCCATAGACACTTTGAAATGCTTTTGAGGATGTACCCCCCCCCCCCCCCTGAAGCTTTTGGGTTCCATAGCCCCTCTCCCCCCTCCCTCCCTCCCCCCCCCCCCCCATTGTTTTTTTTCCCAACATAAGCATAGTAAATAAAAGGTGTGTTCTTAAATAATTAAATGAGTGTAATTAAATTAAATGTAGATGTTATCATTTTAAATTAGCCTCAGATGTACAAACTACACATGAAACCCATATTGAAAAAAACAGAAACATGCTGATAAAATATATTTCTGATACAAGCCAAAATGAGGTAGTAATTTGCTGTGAATGAAAGTCCAATTTATTTATCATGATCTCACTGTCTGAAGATTAAAGACTGGAATATAAGGAGGAGGAGAAGAAGAGGAGGAGGAGAAAGAAGTAGAAGGAGGAGGAGAAGGATGAGGAGGAAGAAGAAGAAGAAGAAGAAGAAGAAGAAGAAAAAGAAAAAGAAGAAGAAGAAGAAGAAGAAAAAGACAAAGAAGAAGAAGAAGAAGAAGAAGAAGAAGAAGAAGAAGAAGAAGAAGAAGAAAACTGCAACAAAAGGATTTAAGACCACCCTTATAAGACTCACAAACAAGTAGTCACATCAATAACTAACCTTCCCCAGATAAAGGCTCTAACAGCTGCTTCTTGGATTTGATAAAATGGCATTTCTTTGCTGTCACTGGCTCAAAGTCAATTTCCACATAGCTCTGAGGCACCAGGCCTTCGTCGTTGAGCCTCCAGAATAGAGTATCAAACCCTGCCCCTAGACTCACAACCTGGCATTTGCACTCTGTCAACTGCAAGCAAATTAGGACAAAGAAGGTAACAAGAATTCAGTAAATATATATAAGACACTGAACAATGAAAATAAATGAATAAGTCAGAGAAAGAAGAAACAATTATATAAAAAAATGGCGGCAAAATGTAATAAATATCATTTCTGATATTACCGTAAAAGTAAGAAACATTTGGCCACCACACAAACTAGGTCATCACAATAAAAAAAAGGGCGATGAGTTCTCCTCATTGTCACATTTCATTCACTGACAAATATATATCTATATTGCCCACTTTCTTAGCTGTGCCAAATATAGGTTTACTGTTTTAAGTCGAGGCAATTTTTTTGCTTCTGACAATGGTTAGCAGTTGAATCTTTCTTCACATGTAAACCAAAAGGACATAGCTCTGTCACCCAGCTACTGAGCTGAATGCACTGCTCAACACTGTGAGCTGCGGCTTTCATTTGGAACGCTTTTTAACTGTGTCCAACATGGCTTGTGTTTTGCAATGCAAATTCAGAAAATAGTAAGTGGCTTGCCTTGTGCAATTATGTGTTGTAACTGTGTGTGCAACTAAATGATGTGTTGTAACTGTGTGTGCAACTAAATAGTGTGTTGTAACTGTGTGTGCTACTAAATGGTGTGTTGTAACTGTGTGTGCAACTAAATGGTGTGTTGTAACTGTGTGTGCAACTAAATGATGTGTTGTAACTGTGTGTGCAACTCAATGGTGAGTTGTAATTGTGTGTGCAACTAAATGGTGTGTTTTAACTGTGTGTGCAACTAAATGGTGTGTTGTAATTGTGTGTGCAACTAAATGGTGTGTTGTAACTGTGTGTGCAACTAAATGATGTGTTGTAATTGTGTGTGCAACTAAATGGTGTGTTGTAACTGCTGCTTCCATTGGCGATGAACTGTGTTTCTAGTGTTGGCACGTCTGACTGCTGTGTTATGCCTTTAACACAAGTGTATGTTGTTTGATTTGCTCAGACTGCGTTTCTTGTGTTGGCACGTCTGACTGCTGCATTATGCCTTTAACACAAGTGTATGTTGTTGGATTTGCTGAGACTGCAGTCTGTGTCCATTTTTCTCACAAGGGACAGTGATGGACATTCTGTGTGGTTTTAGTTGGCACAGGAACAGAGCCGCCATCAGGTGACCAGTTGGCTATAAAGATGGAACTGTGAATACTTGATTACCTATATTTTATAGATTAATTGGCACATAAGGGCTGACTTCTTTTTTTCACATGACATTACCTGGTCCCTATCTAATGCTATGTCGACATGGCAGCCAAGGAAAAAACCAGCCTTGATGAGGATTTGAACCCTTGATCTTTTGGTTGGCAGGCGAGTGCTTAGCTCTGGCTCCATCTTTGCCTTTACAGGGCATATACATGGTCTCGCTGAAAATAATGCAGTAATTAACCTCAAACAACTTACTTACAAATAAACACACAACTGGTGGGGAAAGTCGGGAAACAGTGAAATTCACACTGCACCAGTAGTGACCAGGGCTCATAGTAGTTATAGTACAGCACATACTACTCATACACTTTACACTTATAAATTAAAGTATATAGTTTTTTACCTGTGATTTTTCTTTATACCATAGGGACGATGATTAAAATTAGTCATTCAAGGGACAAAACATACCGTTAAAAAATTCTTCACCAACGTCTCAATCGACTTGACTCTTGCATAGTAGCCGCGACTAATTTCTGGAGCTTTTCTCGCCGACGATTTCTGAACAAAGAATCCAATATATGGATCGTTCCAGTATCCCTTGTCCACTCCAAATCGTTTACAAGATGCAGCATCGTCGTTTGTTGAAATGACAGCCTCGTCTGCAGACATTTTATATAATTACGAAACGATAAAGTTTGCAGAGAAACCACAAATCAGTGATCAGATTGTTTGAGTATCTTCCATATTGTTTTTGTGTGTCGACATAAAAAGTCGGAATTACAAGAAAGTTTGAGAAACAATTTACATGTTTCCTTTTTTTTTTTTTTTTTCTGATATGTGGGAATCATTTTACAGCACTCCGGGTCAATGCATAGATGTTCCGTCTTGCACCGGTTTAAGGCTGTGTCGACCTAGAAAAAAAAAATAATTCCTTTGGAACCCGAGCCAACGACCGTCGGATCCTAAGGAGAGCGTATAGCCTCTACACTATGACAGCTCCCGTCCATTTCAATATGAATGCCTAATTTCAATTTTGTATGTCGTACTCCCAAAGGGTTGTCACCAGCTGGTGTGGTACCGGCTAACCAGTTTGCTTGTTCGTTTCAAAACACACCTGCAGACTATGCAGAAAAAGATCCTGAGGTCACCAGATCAACTGCCTGGGACCTCTGAAGCGATGACTGCTACTTTGCACGGAGCAACTAACAAGAAGAATCGTCGGTAAGGTGTTGTCGGGGGAAAAAAATAAAATCCTACCATGCACAGTGCTAAGGCCTTCACTAGCCATGCAGCCTTAAATCCCCATGGTGAACGAAGCAAAATTAATGTGCTACACAGCCCTAAAAATTATATAAACATGCACCAATGACAGCTAGCTTTTTATTTATTTATTTTTTAAATATCATAATTATTTTATCAGTCCTCAGTTATTTATTTGCATATATTTTTTTCATATCATTGTTAAAACCTTCTGTCTTATGATTATGAATGTAAAACGTTAGAGAGAAAGGACACATCGTCCAGAGTCCCTGAGAGCAGACATTGTTTTTAAGTAGGCCACTGTATGGCCGTGTGAAGGAGCTCAGTGAACTTGGCGAGAGTATAGAGATCTTAGTCTATGTGTTGCCAGGTTAGACTGTGCGCATCTATGTGTCATAATGAGTGACGAAGTCAGGTATTCATGTTGTCTGCGGCTGTTACCGCAGTAACAAAGTTCCAGCATCGTGGTTTCGTGGTGTGAGATTCATGATATCTCAAGGTAACGTGACAGTCCACAGACGGGTGGGGGGTCTGGATTGTTATTCCCAAGATATTGTGCATCGGCCTGAATGGTTTCTAGGAACAGTTTATCCAAGATAAAGTAGTCACATTAGTTACCAACTGTGATTTGCCCTGTCGAGCATTAACAGCCAGTAGCAACCACGAAACATAGTTGTGACAGGAGAAGTCTTTCGAGTGGGGTCTTAAGTGTGTATATGTGGCAGCAGGAAGAATTGTATTACTGTGTCAATCGTATCTCGTGATGCAGACCAGTTTCATGATATCGGTGTCTAAATAGATTGCATAGTCTTTGGCGGTAAACATGTGTTCAGTCATCCGTTGCTGTAGGGCGGGAGCTGTGACCTCAAGTCTTTACATTAATAAGTTAACGCTAGACCACTTGTAAGGAACCTGGGCATTGCATATGTCGAATATATAATTATTGTTTTGACAGTGTTCATAACCACATGTTGTTATTGTACCTTCGTCTAGTTGTCGTTCATAGATAGTCTCCAGGGTACCTCCATTGTCCATCTGAATGAAGTAAAAGGCCCGGCTCTCTAGCGTGGTTGGCTAAACCGGATCGCTCGGTGAGCGGGTGACGAACTCCCTGTGGTCCGGGTTCACTCCTGGGGGTAGACAGAAAAGCCACATTTCTCCCAGATTTACGGTATTTACAATGGAATCAAGGCCGAAAGGTTGCGATATCCATAATACCGTGCCTAATCGTTAACAACTCATGGCTTCTGGATACTAAAACAAACAAACAATGAAGTAAATGACCTTTTCCCAGGCTTTCGGGCATATTGGGCAAATAAGGATAGACTGATATTTTATAGACCAGCCGACACTCGGTGGGCGATGTGGTCAACGTCACGTCGACCGCCACTACTTCCCAAGACTGTACCTGGTACCCATTTAAGGCTGAGTCGACCTGGGAGCCAGGGTTATTTTTTAGGAAAAAAAATCTGCCTCCTTCAGGTTCTGAACCTACTACCTTCCGATTAGCATTCGAATATCTAGCCGCTCCACCAAGGCGGCTCCCTGTCCATTTGAATGAGATTTGCAAAAAAATAGTTTTTCCAATCCAGGATTTCAGTCTGTACAATTAACTCCTCACGGATGAGAATCAAACAGGAGCAAATTACAGAAACCCCTATCAAAAACATAAAACAGTCGTACTGGGACACTACAAATGGTATATTTGTTGTTCGTCGTTCATCACAAGGGGCGATGACCACTCTTTCTGTCATCCGTCATAAAACTCAGTTGATTGTTTGTGAGTCCGGGGATGACTTTTAAGCCAGTTAGGGGCCCAAAATGGCAAGGCACAGTTTCTGTAGATAAAGGACCTGTACGGGTCTTTCTAGCCTGTCAAGGCTGTTCAGGTGCCTCTTTTTGTTTATTTTTCTAGAAGCCTGGCAAGTCGCTCTAGCACAGGCACCACTTTCATTCTATGCGAATGGACTAATGTCATCCACACAACCCAACCCTGGTTACGCCTCATTGGCCAACCCCTCCCTTCCTAGACACTCAGTGTACGCTGTTGTGCCTGTTGGTGTCTACTCTGCCCATTTTCCAGACAGACTGACCCCATTTTTTGCACCCAGTCCGTGCGTTGGTGATGTATAGGCGACCTGTCCTAGACATCGTCTTGAACGAAGTTTTTTCGCCAGGTACTCAGATAAGTATCATTTATTTTGTACATTAGAGTCCATATGCAGTCACTTCATAGTTAGAGCATATTTGTGTATGTGTACTATGTTGTTCTTTATGTGCTGATGAAGTCTAATCGCCGCAAAGTCCTTTGTTTGTTTATTGTGATCGATTTTGTAAAGCTAACATAAACTATTTGTTCTTTCTTACCTACTTTTTCTCTTCCCTATAATTTTCTACCCCTTTTAAAAATCCCTGTTCGAATAGACGTTCGCCATGTTAGCCGATCCTGTGCGGCAGCCTCCCATGTATCAGAGTTTAGACTGAAGGCGTTGAGTGTTGTGTATATCACGATGAAGGGTCATTTTTGGAGAGCCGATGGTCTGGCGAATGGTCGAGTTTGTGTCTGCATCAGAATGGTATCAATGCGGGGAATGCCAGCTCTACGCAATAGTATCCGAGACACTGTGTTGCCATTTGATTTTCAGTATTATTTCTTAGACAGACAATATATATATATGGAAGTGGTTGATCATCTTTGCATGACTTTTCTATATAGTCTTAGTTTCACAAGCATATAGCAGCACTGAAAGCAGCGCTGCTCTGGATATCTTCAGTTTGGTTTGCAGACTGAAGCCACTTCGATGCCAGACATTGGTGTATAGTCTGCCAAATGTGCAGCTGGATTTAGAGACCCTGGTGTTTGTCTTATCGTCGATGGTGACATTTTTAGACAGTATCGAGTAACATGTAGTCCAGCGTGGATGTATTTATTCTGAATGTATCATCTCCTGCCGCTTTTAGATTGACTCCCGCCGCTCCTCTGGGCTGTGAGCTACCTTGTGATAACAAGGAGGTGGTGACGGCTCTATGGGATCAAATGAGAAAAGAGAATCCATAATACAGTGGGAATGTGTAGAGAGGATCGGGAAGATATTCGACACCGGTGGACTGGCGGCATTGATGGACTTTTAATCAGGTTGCAACTAGTACTATTAGCTTATCGACTCTTCATTGGCTACCGAGGAAGGAAATGGAGCTCGTTCCGGCTGCAGTGATGTCAGTTCTTGTCTTGATTCATCCATGCATTTATTAAATCTACAGATCAATCTGCTCGCTGTATGGCATTTAAACATAATCAGGCATTTCATTCATACAAGTATTTTAAAGGCCGGAGTGTCTACACTTGGTACCGACTCATGCCATATTTGTCTGTTTAGAACTTCGTTACCTGCCTTTATCACAAACACCAAGAAAAGTTTTGACAAAAGCCTTTATCAGCGTACACACATCGAAAATACACATAAAGAAAGGGAATAAAACAATCAAGTTATAATAGTTATTTCTGTAGGATTCTGTAGAATGTTATCGCTACATCAAGTCTGAGAAAGGAGGTGGGGGCAGTCACTGCAGACTTCTTCTGGATCTAGAACCAGCAGCATACAGACACGCATGTCATGATTGTAACATTCTCAGCGTGTTGGGACAGGTGGAGAGTGGCAACCATCGCTTGAGAAGTCTTTCCATGGTAGTTAGCCTACTTGGAACATTTTCTCCAGGGCCTACATTTGTGATGGTCAACAAACAGGCAGACAGATTGGCTGATTTTGCACCAGTTGAAAGTAAACTCATGCATGCTAAGCTAGATGTGGTCGAGGCCCTTTGGGAGGAAGTGAACGGCGCGAAGACATACAATAATCATCGCCATCTGAAGAGAAAGATGCAGCGAGAAGTGACCAGGAGATCTGACCGACATTCAACACTTGGTGGAAATGGTGAAACGACACACAACCAGGCTGCCACTGGTGTCATCAGCACTAGAGCTCTCTGCGCTGGCTGCTAAAGATGTGGACGGAGCGCTTAGGAATGCTCTGAGTGCTTTGATATCGGTTATTAACTCAGCTCTTTTTCGTGTTTGTATATACGCCTTTCTGTTGTTTTTGGTAATTTAACACGAGTTTTGATGAAATATTTTAATTGACTTGCTTCTTTGTTGTATTTTTGGTTTATGCTCATTCTTCAGGAGCTTCTGCCAGAACGGTCATAAATTCCGAGCTCAAGCGGTCGATATCGTTTCCAATCCTCCTTTTATTATGGAGTGTGTCTGTTTTTGCGCGGGACAAAAATAACATCTTTACGTGTACTGACTGACTCACTGACTTTCTACCCCACCAGGACATCACACAAGCGATAAACACCCGATGACATAAAGAAAGTGCCACCATGTAGATGAGGATCGCCGTGGAGAGGTC